ACAAATGAGGAACAAAGGCAGGGTATCTATATAATGGACAAATAAGGAATAATTGCCAATAGGATTAAGCTAGTTGTTAGTATGTTCTATCTTCTTTTCTCTTTTGGTGGAACCAGATGCTGTGTTGTTCTGCTTATCGCTAAACTGTGTTTGTGTTTTTCATTTCAAGTTTTATTGTGTTTAATTGCAGACATAATAGATGTTGAACTTTATATATGTTTGTCAAGTTAGAATGATTTACTTTTTTTAAGCGCCAAGGACAGTCATTATTCCAGGACAGAATGTATGACGCAGTCTACATATTTAAAATGTAGATTATATCTCACTTGAAAGTAGTTTCTCAAGCAACAAATCTCTTCGTTTTCTTGGAAACCCTACAAACTTCTTCGCGAGGTTTGCAGCTAAAGTTGTCTGCAAAGTTGCCAACTTCCTCAATCTCTCAAGCAACAGAGTAGTAGAATTTTCTATCGAAGACTCTGATGAAGATGGAGACGTTCTCTAGAACATTCAACCTCGTTGCGAACTGTGAAGAATCTCTAGTGAAAAGACTGCTCTGTGGGCCTGCTTCTTCGGCTCTGTTTATGTGGGCTTATTTCTTTGGGCCTGTTTATGTGGGCTTGTTTATTTGGGCCTGTTTATGTGGGCTTGTTTCTTTGGGCCTGTTTATGTGGGCTGTACCTTGTACCGTTTACGTGAACTTAATTCAATGTTAATAATGTTGACTATTTATAGTCTAAGTTTTGACAATGACAGACGTTATAATTATAATTATATTATTATTATATATAATTCATGTTAAAAGAAAAGACGAAATATTTCCCAAAAGATTTAATCACAGCTTAGCAGTTACCACCTGATAAATTAATTCTTTTTTACCATCCTAATATGCTTTATATATACATATATTTCCGATTAACCCGTTAAAGCTTGCCTTGCTCAGCACTCCGAGAACATTATCGCGGCCATCCATTAATTACATCTTGAAGCAAGAACATTCTACGCGTTTATAAACTGACTTACTTAGTGTAGCCAGGTTTCTTCTCCGAATCTCCGTTTATATCAATCCGATGAACGCGAGAAAGCTTGCCCAGCACTCCAGAAACGTTATCCACCGTCGTTTCGCCGACTTAAGTTTGAACATTATTGCCGTCATTCTGCCGACTTAAGTTTGAACATAATGGCCGTCATGTCGCCGACTTAAGTATTTTCTCCGAATCCTCCTTTCCCAAAGAAGGCGGTTTGAATCATCATTATATATATATATATATATATATATTTAGATCAGCTCATTGGAATAATGTTGCAAGAATAGAATCTGATCATCTACTAGTCAGTACAATTGAATTCCTATGGCGCGAAGGCTTTCTACATCCTTATTACAAGGGAAGCAGAACGCAGTGAGAGGGGATGTGAAGCGATTGAGATTGGAGATGAAGGAGATAAGTATGGATCAGAAGCGAATTCGGAAAGACCAAAGAGATTTGAGAGAAAAGTTGGAACACATCAATGAGCAATGCGTGCAGCTTGGACAGGAGATGGAAGTGGTCGCCAAGCAGAAAGCTCGGAATCAGCTCCTCTTGAATCTCGCATTCAGAATCTTGAAGGCTCGCCAAGCAGGGGACTTCGCCGCAGCCATCTTCTTTACTCGAATCCTCCGGTTTGTGTCTCCCAAACTCAATTCTTTTTCTTAGTACTCATGCATGTTAATTGGTTTTTTCAGTGTTTATTACTTTATTTACTTTTTATTTGCATGCAGTCAGGTGATACAAAACAGAGGAGCAAATGAAGGAAATGCATCCGATGCTACAAAAGAAGAACGAAATGTAAACAAAGTTTGAATTGTTCGAGAAATTCTATTTATGTTTTCTGTTGAAGTAAGAATAAGGAATTGCTTTATTGATTTAATGCAACTGTTGTCTGCAAGTTTGAGTTTGAGCGAGAAATTGGTTTGGTTTACTTTACTCTCAAGGAACCAAGAATAAAAGAAAGAAAATGGAATGATCTCTATCATTTGATTTAGTGGTCAAGATCCTTGGTGAAAAAAAAAA